ATTCATGTAAGTGAAGTAGTCTGTTTTGTATTTCTCATTTTTGGAAAACTTCTTGTTCAGATGTTGGAGTCTGATCGATGCAAGTTCTCTGTTGTCCGGCAAGGATGGTCGTTGCTTAAATGGAAGAGGCATTTCATAATGTCCTAGATAATTTTTCTTTATTCCTACTTTAAGTTTGTCTAGGAACATGATGTCCTCTTGAGAGACTGTCTTGTCATCTACTGTGATGTCCTTAAAGTCTGATTCAAGTATACGGACTGCATCCCCAGGTGTCATAGCTGGTATCTCCTTTGTAGCTATCCTTTGACAAAGACTGAACCCTGTTGATTCATTGATACTTGGTATGGAGCAGCCCACAATACTCCACCCTAAATCTGTTAAAATGGCATATGGTTCCTCATTTTTACCTAGTATGACTTGTCTTGGAGCTAGCACTCTAGGGCAGTTATAGCCAAGTAGTAAGCCTACTTCACAATTGAGTAGAGGTGCCATTTCGTCAGCAATTCCTTTCAAGTGACTCCAGTTCATTGCCGTTTTCTGTGTTGGTATGTGATCATAATTAGCTGGAATACACTCCTTTGTGTATACAGGAGGAAGACTGATATGTACTGAGGAACTGTACCTCTCACTTGAAGATCCGTTACTCGATTGCTTCTAATAATCTCATTGTCTCCCATCATGGTGGTTAGTTTTTGTTTCATTGGGTGACTCTCTACTTGCAGTGTATTACTAATGTCTTCATCAATAAATGTAGTGTCACTCTGTGTATCTAGCAATGCATACACAAGCTGTTCGTTGGATGGATTTTTAACTGAAGACACCCATACTGGTACGATCATCGATGTAATGACTGACTGACTTTCTCTTGTGATATTAAGTGACATGGCATTAGTAGTTTCACTTTCAGTTGCATGCACATTGCTTACCATGGGCAATGGTCGTTCTCTGATTCCGTCCTTGTCATAATTGTAATCATGAAGACATGTGGGATGTCGTAACTTGCATACATCACATGTGTGTCGACGACGACACTCCTTAGCATGGTGGGACGATTTTAAACACCCGTAGCAGAGTTTGTTATCTTTCACATAGGCTCTTCTGTCTTTCAGAGACTTCTCCATGAATTTCAGACACTTATGAAGTTGATGATTGTCATCCTGACACAACATACACTGTGTTTTAGTCACTGTAAACTTTCCTTTGACTGTTGATTGTGTGTCATTGTTTACACTTGTTTGTGTCTTAAAAACAATTGCTTTACTTCTTTTAGTTTCCTGTGACATTCTTCTCTCATAAGGTGACATGAATGAAGAGCATGTAAAGAAGTGATGGGATTACACATAATTTCTGCTTCTGTTGTCATGAAATTGACAAAGTCATGGAAACTTGGAAACTCTTTGTCATCCATAAGGGTTTTTGTGACCTGACGGTTCCATCTGGAAGCTATCCAGTCAGGTAGTTTTTGCACCAGCTTCTGGTTTTCTTCACAGTCATTTAATATTTCCAGACCTTTTACATGTGGTATGGCTTGCAAACATGCATTTAAAAAGTCTGAAAATGTTCTCAAACCTTCTGCGTCTTTGGACTGTATTTTAGGCCACTTGGACAGCTTTTCTCTAAACGCTCTTTGTATAACAAAGGGCTGGCCGTACCTTTTATTAAGCTTGTCCCAAGCGTCTTTGTACGCTTCTTCATCATTTCGATAAAAGGTGCCCTCAAGATACCTATGCGCTGAGCCACTCACATACTTTTTCAAATAATAAAGCTTGTCAGCTGCTGAAATGCCCTTTTTACCTATTAATGACATAAATGATGACTTCCATTCCACAAACTGTATTGGGTCTCCGTTGAACACTGTAGGCTCAGGTAGGGGTAACCTGTTTATGGCTATGCTGTCCTGAACTGCTTGAGCAAGGTGAGACACTTCACTGAGCGATGCTGACTGAAGAACATAAGATTCCTGAAGCTGCCTTTCATTTCTCGGCCCCTGCTTTTCACTTTTTATTGACTGATTTGTTGTTTCCTCCTTTATTTCTTCATCATAGGATTTTACTCTGGCACGAGCAACCTCTATATCCTTTTCTACTTGCAAACATTCTAGTTCAAACCTTTGAGTTTCTAACTCTTTTTTGAATTGCTCTTCTATATTTCTTAATTTTTCCTTTTGTTGCCTTTCTGCTTGCATCATCTTGTATTCATCCTCCTTTGCAGCCAGCTTTGCTGCAGCATCTGCTCGTTTTCTTGCTGTGCGAGAGGATCCAGAATGGCTGTTGACACTCATTAGTGAAGCACTGGAACCAAATATAGAGCGAGCGTAACTGTGTGCTAAAAGTTCACTTAGACGCCCCCTTTCTCTTTCTGCATCATACTCATCATCTACATTTGATATTTTTTCTAACACTATTTTGACAATGTCATTGGTCACAGCATCACATGCATCGATTTTACGTCTTAAGTCAGCAGCAGGAGTAATAAATTCCCTTATATCGATGAAGATTTTCATGATACCATTCCTTTTATCCTCAAGTGAATCAGCGATATCTGCAAGCTGCTTGTCAGATATGTCAGTTTTTAAATCCTGCCTTGCTTTACGAGCATCTAACTTCCATTGTTCATACAATGTAGTTAATTTTTTTTCTTTCTTTCTACATTCCTCTTTTTGATAAGCAAGCATTTTCTCTGTTGGTATATGAGGACGTTCTGAACGTCGAGGGAGTTCTGTGCTCTCTTGTACATGACACTGTTCTTCTGATGTATTTTTGTCTTTTTGTTCAATTGCTCCTTTTATATCTGTTTCCATATTACCTTCATTTTCCATTTGGAGCGGCCTCTCAGATTCTTGGTCATCTTCATCCATTTCCATATTGAACTCGTACCCTTTTACGTCTCAGCTCCGTAGACCATCATTGTTAGTGAGAATAGCTCAGGACTGTAATAGCTAGCTCTTGAATAGGGGAGTTGAGTTGGTCTGGGTGTGTTGGTTAGAACACCAAAGCCGGAGAAGGAATATACTTGAATGATTTATTGATTACAGTCATATGCAGAGGGGGAGCCAGTTGTAACTTGTATGTTAACGTCTTCTAACAACATACATGGAATGGGCATGGATACTGGATGATGATGATTGTATTGCCTTGTGCTTAAATCTTCCTTAAGACGGCATAGATCCAACTTTGCATACATCTATGCATGTATGAACTTGTAGAGCCGTGTGTGGTGTTTGTGTGTGTGTGTGTGGTCTGTAAACAAACAGAATAAAGAACATATTTGTTAATGTGTGCTTATTACTCCTTCCACAATACAAATAAATCACAATACATACATGTGACATAATTACATGAACTACTGGCATCCCCAAATGTGAACATAAGGCAGTATTTAAGATAAATGAACATAATATTTGACTACATACACAACAAACAACTTGTAATATAACAGTTTAACTGAATGTGAGCTCCCTCACGATATAGGCCTTATTAGCATTCACTCATAATGTCAGCTTTGCATACTCAAACTTAAACAAAGTCCTCCAGTAATGTCCTTAAACTCAGTCAGAATGCACAGTACTCACTTTTCCTCTGGACGCACACAGTTTTATAAACTAACAGGAACAAACAGCAATCATATACAGCCGTGAGTCTCCAGACTTCGCTCGGCTCGTTTCTCTCCTCGTTGAGTGAACGTAATGACTGATTCACGGAGAAATCGGAAGTGCGCCGAACTGTGAAGCACTCCACATCAATGCGCGGCAATGCGTCATAATAAAAGTCCCCGCGATTCAGAGTAAGGCACTGCTTTATATCACTGTTACAGTCTCTTATTTGCAGCCTTTCGCACAGCCGCCCCAAATTGCATGCAATTTGTTCCTAAGAAAGGCTTACTGTCTTTGTGAGTCATGACAGGGGAGCGGATTCTCCATCTGATTCTGAGAGGGCTGGAAGGACAATGAGACGGGCAACTGGTCGTGTGTAAATTTTGTCCTTAATCTGAACATCACTGACCTTACATGCTGATCAGCGCTCAGGTGCACCTTTATGACTTTTCCGATTGGCCAAAGAGCCCTTGGGAGTTGAGGGTCCATCAACAGAACTACCGAGTTCACTGTGAGGTCAGCTGTGTCAGTATGCCACTTCTGCCGCTGTTGCATGGTGGGTAAGTAGGATTTTATAAATCTGGACCAGAAGTGGTCTGCTAGGACTTGACAGTGCTTCCATCTTCTTTTGCTAAGTCCTTCACTCTTATTATACACCATCTGCGGTAGAGCTCCATCAGGCCGCCCCATCAAGAGGACATTTGGGGTGATAGCATCACATCTGCAACATTAGATGAGGTATATCCTAGCGGTTTCACATTCAATATTGCCTCTACCTCCAGCAGGACGGTATGAAGGACCTCATCAGAGATTGACTGGGCTCCAATGACGGTATACAAAGCAGACTTGACTGATCTTATCTCCCGCTCCCAGGCTCCACCGAAATGGGGAGCTGCAGGGGGGTTGAAATGGAAGGCAATCTTCTGCTTTGCTAGTAGTTGTTGAAGCTCTGCAGCCATGCTATCAAATGACTCCCGAAGCTCCTTCTCCCCTGCCTTGAAATTTGTGCCCTGATCTGAGTAGAGTTCTGCTGGAGTACCTCTATGGGCGATTAATCTTCTAAGGCTCATTAAAAAGGAGTCTGAGTCCATTCTGTGTATGAGGTCCAGATGTACAGCTCTGGTAGTGAGGCATTTGTAAATAATGCCCCATCTCTTTTCTGACCTGCGTCCCAATTTAATCTGGAAGGGCCCAAAACAGTCGACGCCAGTGGAATAGAAGGCTGGCTTATACAAGCGAAGACGAGCCTCTGGTAAGTCTGACATTTTAGGCACTGATGGCTTGGCCTTCCACCTTCTGCACTCCTTACACTGATGTTGCATATGACGTATTGCTTGCCTTCCACGCAGGATCCAGAATCTGCGCCGTATTTCTGCATATACCCGCTCTGGCCCTGGGTGGCAAAGGCGAGAGTCGTAATCCTCCATAAGGAGTTTGGTGAATGGATGACTGGGATCAAGAACAATAGGGTGTTTGGATCCAGGATCTAAAGTCTCAGCCCTTCTCAATCGGCCACCAACTCGCATGATTCCTTCCTCAGAGTCTAGTTCTGGTGATAAGGTAAGTAAGCGACTGCTATACGCCACTGGCTTGCCCTTTTTCAGGCAATGCAACTCTTCTTGGAAACAGTCTTGCTGAATCTTCTTGTAAATCACCAGTTCTGCCTGCTGATACTCTGAGGCAACAATAGGGTTACTTGAATCGGCCGCCCCATGAAGCTCATGTGCCACCGCCTCAATTAGATCCTTCCAGGTTGTGTATTGACTATTTTGTACTGAAGATGGCCAGTCAGGATTGGATATGATACCACAGAAGACTGACTTCCTGCACTCTGACATATCTGGATCGGCTAACTTTGTCGGCTGGGATGGCCAGTGATGGGGTCCTTTAAGAAGAAAGGATGGCCCATGACTCCAGCGATTGGGCAATGCTAATTCTTCTAAAGTCTTTCCTCGTGTGAGGTCATCCGCAGGATTCAGCGAGGAGTCTACATAATGCCATGAATCAGGGTTTGTAAGCTCCTGTATTTCAGCCACGCGTGTTCCCACAAATACTTTGAACCGGCACGACTCTGATTGCAGCCATGCCAGCACTGTCGTCGAATCGCTCCAAAGTATGATTTCATCGATTTTCAAGGTAAGCTCTCTTTCCAACATCTTGGCTAATTGTGCTGCTGTTAGGGCACCGCAGAGCTCCAGACGTGGAATTGAATGTTGTCTTCGAGGAGCAACTCTTGATCTTGCTGCCAGAAATGAAAGGTATACTTGGCCTTTTACATCTTCTGTCCGCATGTATGAAACGGATCCATACGCCTTTTCTGATGCATCACTGAATATATGGATCTGTCGGGAGACAATGGCTTGATCCACATGAGCTGGAACATATGATCGGGGCAGTGATAGATGAGGCAACAAATGGAGTTCTGCTTCCCACTCCTTCCATGCCTGCTGAAGCTCGTGAGGAAGTAGTGGATCATCCCAGTTGCGATGCTTATCCCACATACTCTGTACCAGTAATTTGGCACGGGTGGTGTAGGGTAATACAAACCCCAGAGGGTCATACTGTCGAGCCAGAACTCTATACACATTCCTCATGGTCAGAATACCATAGTCCAATGGACGACTCTTATAGCCCAAAGTGTCAGACTCCCAATGCCAGCTAAGTCCTAGAGTTGATTCAGACAGACCATTCTCATCATGTGATAGCCACCGTTCCATACTGTCTGATCTTGCATCTTTTGGTAGATGGCTAATGGCACTTGGGACGTTGCATGCCCATTGCCGAATCTCAAATCCACCAGATGATAAGACTTCCCTGAGTCTGTCTACTAACCTCTTTGCTTCTGCTGCAGTTGGCAAACTCTGGAGGCAATTATCGACGTAGAAGCACCGTTCCACAGAGTCCTTAACAACATCCTCTGGATCACTACAATCCCTGACGTGCCGATGAAGAGCATAGGTTGCACAACAAGGTGAGCAGGTCGTGCCGAATGGTAACACTTGCCATTCAAAGGTATCAGGTGGGTCTTCTCGTCTGTCTCTCCAAACAAATCTGAGCAGTGACCGATCTTCTGGCAGGAGCTGGACTTGGTGAAACATAGCCTTTATATCTCCACTGACTGCGACACCATGTTCTCTAAAGCGCAGCAGAACACCAAGCAGAGAGGCTCCCAGGGTAGGTCCAGGAAGAAGGGCATCATTCAGATTCATACCTCTAAACTGATAAGAACAGTTGAAGACAAGCCGATTCTTACCATTGTGAGACACTAGGTGATGTGGTATGTACCAGGACTCACCATCTGCCGAGATCTCGCCTGGGTCCAGCTTCCTGACAGCTCCTGTCTTCACCAACTGGTGGATTGCCTCACTGTAAGCGTTGGCACGTTGAGGGTCCCTTGCCAACCGTTTCTCTGTACTCCTCAAACTCGGCAGAACCACCTCTTTAGTTGCCTGAAACAGAGGCATATCCCTTTTCCTTAACAATGGAGTGGCATACCTGAGAATTCCAGAAACTTCCACTCGCTTAGTCTTTGTCTCCAGGAGCTCCACAGCCTCGTTGTCCTGTTTTGACCTTACTACTAGCTTATCCTGTTGGAAAGGCAACACGTCTAACTGCCATAGTTTTTCTACGTTTCGCATCAATTCAGTAGTCTGTGGCAAAACACTGGTAAGTAGACACTGACGTGTTGTTGTTGTCCACGGGATAAGGTGAGTAGGACCCTGAAGTGTCCAACCCAGTCTTGTGCAGATAGCCGATGGTCCTCCAGGGGGTCCCAACCTCACTGGCTCAACAGGACTGAGTAAATGGGGATGATCTGCTCCTATTAATAGAAGTGGCTTAACATGCTCAAACGGCTCAATCGGGAGGCCTGCCAGATGTTTGTACTTTTTCTTCAGCATAGAGATGGGATACGTGTGATCTGCTAGGCTGAGGCGTTGTGAGGTAAATGCATCTCTAATCCGGAAACCCTTTCTGGGATGTGCAGAGGATGATATGCAGAATGAGACAGTTGATCCCTCTAATGTTTGGACATCCTGTCGTATTGTGCGAAGAATAAGATCCTCTTGTTTACCTTGTAGTCCCAATTGATCAGCGGCCTCTGGGAGGAGCATGGTGCGCTCCGACCCATCATCCAAAACCGCGTAAGTGTCAAGAGTTCTGTCTTTATTTCGAAGAAGTACTCTCACCACTTTCAGCAGCACCCTATTGGAAGCTGATGGACGATCCAAATACAAAATCTCAGCATTGGTGTTTACTAAACAGCTCTCTTCTTTGGGTGGCTCAGCTGCAGGACGTGTGTTCACCTGATGAAGAACTCTTAAGTGCTTCCCTTGACACAAGTCACAGAGTCGTTTAAGATCACACTGTGCTGCTTGGTGAGATCTTCCACATCTCCAACATCTTTTATTTGCTTTTATCCAGTTTATTACATCCTCCCTGTTGAGCTTCTGAATAGCTGGGCACTTGTTAAGAAAATGCTCTGAACTGTCACAGTATGGACAGTATGGTCTCATCTTGCCTCTCCCTTTGGTCTCAAAGGCACTTTGACTTTCTCGTCTCATCCCCTTACTCTCCATCGAGCCCTCTGCTCCATGAAGTACTGAGGCTGCTGGTTTACTATGTCTTTTCTCAGCTTTGTAACTTAGTAACCCTTGTACACGTGTGTTGGATGAGACATCATACCCCTGACACCACGACTCATAATGGAGCCATTCTGCCAAATCTAACAAGGTATGAGTAGAGCCTGAACGGTGAAACATCTGACGGCGAAAATTTGCCCTTAACTCTGTTGGAAGTTTTGTAAGCAGCCGTGCCACATGCGAGCCACATCTTAATTCAGCTTCCCCTTCAGGGCCCAGTGTTTTTAGCATGCCTACCAAAGACTGCACATGCAAAGCAAACCTTTCAAAAGCTGCTGTGTCTCCTCGCTTTATCTCTGGTGAGTCCATGACTGCAGCTATCTTCTTTAAAGCAACATGATGTGGCTGCCCAAACTTCTCATTCAATGCAGCCATCGTGTCAGAGAATGGCATGGGTGAGTTAATGTATGAGTCCGCTATTAGGCAAGCTTCCTCCAACCTCAGATGATCTACTAAAACCTGATATTTGAAAAGCTCTGAGGAGTCTGCTGGCAACAGATTCATCAAGGCAAGCTTTAGCCGGGAAAACTCCATTGGGTCTCTATGAATGAAGAAAGGAATTTTTGGTGCCGGCCCTCTGTATTCTTTCTCTTCAAATCTAACTGATGAAGACTGATATGGTAAGTATTGAGAGGAGGCTCGTTGAACTACGTGAGGCCTAGCTGAGTGTCTAAGTGGGATTGCAGGTTCAGAATGATCTATAACATGAGGGGAGCCAGCAACTGGAGAGTAATGATGTGATCTTCGAGGTTGA